TTGTTTTTGCTTTAAATGGCTCCGGATCATCTAACATCACACACCAAGCTCAACCTGATGTAAAGAAGTCTGCTGGTAGTGGTCCCCCCCCCCCCAGTACAACCTCACTAGTTAATCCTTGTTAATTATCAATATTGTAGAATTGTGCACCAAATATCATTAAATTAACAAGAACGCAAAGAAAATAAGGAATTGTGCTTTGAAGCATAAAGCAAGTATGTGATTTTAGCAGCATTATTAATTCAAAACCATGTATTTCAGATGTGAATAAAAAAAATACATATTTATCACAACAATATTCAAGCAACATTCACTGTGGGGAAAACAAACTAGAAAGTCCCATTAGATGGAAAGGCTTGGGTGACAGAAGTAGAACTGTGACATCACTTGAGTGTGATGGCTGCCTTGGCATAATTTTTTTTTTTTTTAAAGTCAGCGAATGAGTTCACAGCAAAAACAGTATAAAGAGTAAAATTCCTGATTTATATTTTGCTGCCACAAAGTTAGTGAAAATCACTCTACTGTGATGCTGGCTGCTTTGTTATGCAAAACTTTACAGTAAGCTAAAGAAATGTCTCTCTCTCTCTGTCACTCTAATCTGTCTTTCTCTCAGGCCTTGTTGTGGCTCCTCTGCTGTTATCCAGAGCACAATTAGAATCATGTACAAGTACACCATGTAGCTGAACTGCTTGTCCGTAATAGCATCACACACATATTTTCCCAGGATAATATAATAAAATATAAACAGCAGACAGAGAAAATATATAGCAATCAAGAAGAATACATACAAAAAGAAAAGAAAAGCACATATTAAAGAAAAAGTTGCTAAGTGCTTGGAAGCAGTGCAAAAGGACTAGGTCTGAGTATGTAAGTGGCCCAAATCATGAGGGTTTCTCAGACGATGGCTCACATCGGCTCTGGCCATTGTAGTTGTTGAGGGCTTGGATGCCTGTCCACACATGGTGGCATTTGCTGTAGTAGGCCTCCTTGGCTTGTTTGATGCTCCTCCTCAGGTTGGCTCTGGCAGTGCTCTACAATGAACTGTCCCTCAGCCTGAAGGTGGAGTTATGAGTAACATTTTAAAGCAAAGCAAAGAAAAATGGGCTGTAGGAATATCCAATGCCTGGCCAAATAATGTATGTAATAAATTGAAGTCTTGTCTTTATTATGTATCAACTGGCCCTGAATAAGCAGAAGATGTATGGATGGATGACGTTTCAGGGAGACTGAGACATCTCGAATAGGTCACCAACGATTCCTCTGCTGGAGATGGCTTCATCAACCTGGAATGAAACAAACAGACTAAGTTTAAATTAACAGCAGCAGAAATTTGAATCGGCAGTTACTCAGTGAAAATAACAATATATTAGAAGCATTTGGTTTAATTTAATGCGACACACCAACAAAGAACGCGCCTGCTCTATTAGACATTCTAACATCTTTCAACTCATTGCTTTGGTTTTAAGATCATATGTGGACAAGTACACAACCAATCAAAGTTATGGACACACAATTTCAATTAATGATTTTTCTTTATTTTCATGACTATTTAGATTTTAGATTTTCACTGAAGGCATCAAAACTATGAATGAACACATATGGAATTTAGATCCTTTGCTTTGACTGCTGCTTTGGACACTCATTGCATTCTCTCAATGAGCTTCATGGGGTATTAACCTGAAATGGTTTTCCAACAGTCTTGAAGGAGTTTCCAGTTCTGTTCAACTCAGTTTTGTTTATTTAGCGCCAAATCACAACAACAGTTGCCTCAAGGTACTTTATATTTTAAGTTAGACCTTACAATAATACATAAAGAGAAAAACCCAACAATCTTATGACCCCCTATGAGCAAGCACTTTGGTGACAGTGGGAAGGGGAAAAAAATCCATTTTTTACAGGAAGAAACCTCCAGCAGAACCAGGCTCAGGGAGGGGTGGCCATCTGCTGCGACTGATTGGGGTGAGAGAAGGAAGACAGGATAACAGACATGCTATGGAAGTGAGTCAGCCTACACCTATTGCTGCATAACTAAGGGAGGATTCGGGGTCACCTGGTCCAGCCCTAACTATATGCTTTAGCAAAAAGGAAAGTTTGAAGCCTAAT